AGGGTAAAATTGTGTCAGTGAATTGAGGAAGTACATCCTATGGGCATCTTCAATAAGTAAGCTTACAAATCAATATGGTTATTAGAGGTGCACCGAAAATTAAATTTTAAAACCGAAATCGAAACTAAAATGTCAGGCCGAAACTGAAACAGAATTTTTCCTAACCTTATTCATTTTTAAACAATAGTTATTTTTTATTTTTGTTTTCCTTAACTGTATATTTTATTTTTTTTTAGATAAATATTTAAATGTTTTAACTTTACTGTCAGGGGCTCTGGAGAAATATCAGGGGTCTAAACAGACCCCTGATATTTCCCTTTTAAATCCGATCACTGACTGCATGTACCTGCTCTCTATCCTGACTCGCTGTCACAGGATGCAGAACGGGCGGTATGGGGAGGAGAGCTCGGTTTATTTTGACAGCTGTCTCCCCCCACACACCGCTCTCCATCCTGATTTGCCACAGGAGGCCGAGCGGGGCGATGCGGGAGGAGAGCTCGGCCTCCTGTGACACGCCGGCTGCTCATGGCGCTTTCCTACCCCACACCGCTTTCCTACCCCACACCACTCGGCCTCCCCTGACAGTTTCTCTCCCTCCCATGCTGCTTTGTGTAAGAGGGGATACAGAGCAGCGCCCAGCAAGAAGCAGAGAAACCAGGCATGCACTGCAATTTCGGCCAAAAGATGGTACTTTCGGCATTTCGCCAAAAGTGCAATTTTCGGCCAATATGTTTCGGCAGGCTGAAATTTCGGTGTATCCCTAGGTATTAGGTGTAGGATAGAACTTATGGAAATTCAATATAATAATACATATTTATGTTTAGTTTTTGACCATTGATAATATTTAGGGGAAACATTTACTAGGACTTGCAAAACTAATAAAAATAAGTCACTATAAAAAGCACTATAGTGCGGAACCTTTTTAGCATCTCTGTGGGCCCCTATGGGTCTGAGGCCCTGGGCAGCAGCTCAGTCCATCATCATTATTATAATTCACCACTGTCACTACCATACAGCAGCTTATTAGCCCTTATATACTGTAGATATACAGTAACTTTGAATTATAGAAAATCTAACAGATTAAAAGAGTAAAGCTGGCCATAGACTAATAGATTTTTTTGTTCTAACAGATTCCTCTATCTATGCTAAACAGCATGGATGGAGGAATCCCCCCTGATGGGCAATTGTATTCCAATAGCTGGCACCGGCTGTTGTTAGAATACCCAGTGACTGTAGCTGATTGGCTGCAGTCACTGTTTGGCTGACAATTTTTAACCTGTCTCCTTTGACAAAGCTCACTTGAGTAACCAACTTTTGTCAGGCCGACAGGGCTGTAGTATAGCTGACAACTACTGTAAGTATTTCAGCTGATTCTCGTGAATCAAATGAAATGCTGACAGTATATGGCCAGATTAAAGGGTTGTTGAACCCTCACGTTTTTATCTAGCCAGCAGTAGATATATGCAAAAACTTTTTTTTTTTTAAATCTTTTCAAACAGGTTTAAACTTACCTTTGTCTTCGCTGCGCTACTCCCGTCCGAACATCTGAAGAGTCTCGGGCGGCCGCAAAGGATCTTGGGGCGGGCGCATGCGCACTTCAGATGTTGGGCCGGGAGACGAGGAGAGACACAAGGAAAGTATAGGGAGCAGTGTGCACCCGCATAGACACTGTGGGACGTCAAAGGAGAGAAGGACAGAGGAGTCTGAGCTGGATCAGAGACCCGCACCAGCGCTGGAGGGACAGCTGAAAAGGACAGTAAAGAAGAAGATGAACGGATTAAGAAACATCATTTAAGGTAAGTCCTTACATTAGCATTGTGGGGGGGGGGGACACTTTTGACTTTAATGTCACTTTAAGGCTGATAATAGCAGACTAAAAGCAGATAATAGCCATATGAGCCTGAATTAACAGTCATTGTTTATGTGCATAATGTGCAATTGGCTGTCAAAAGTCATAATTTAGCCTATAAAGTGATTTAAACAAATCACATAGCAGAAGTGTTTAATTAAAATCCCTTACCTTCATTGTAAACATCTAACTGGATTAATGTAAATGTTAACATAAGTATTAAGACATAATCCCCACATTTAAGTTGACTAGATATCCATCATAAAGCAGCAGAACAAGATAAAACATGTAAATCTGCCCTATCATGGTAAGGTTGTTTTAAGCAGAAACTAAACTATGTATAACAGGGGCCCATGCCTGAATCATTACAGATTCCTCTGATTCTTTAGCTTTCATTGTAAAGGTAACACAATATTCTGACATATACTATTCTAATATAAGAACTAACACTTCAGCATACTAAATGCTCTCATAGCAATCTGATAGAGGTGCCTGAGCTGTATAGAGCTGTATGAGCATTCGTACATTCGTCAGATGCTTTTGTTGCAGGACTAAGTCAGCCAGGCTGTACTGCTGATGGATGTTACAGCAATCATATGACAAGCTATAGTTGTCTATAGTTGTAGTTACGCTCCTGGTCTTAAAGAAAACCTATCCATAAAACAATAAGCAGGAGAGTTTAGATCTTCTGTAAAAACCTGTTCACTCTCCTAACAAAACAGCAACTAGCTTCCATGTTGAAAGGGTCTGTGACTCCATTTCCCACCTCTTCAGTTTACTTTGGTTCCTGAGGTTGCCCATCATAGTGTAAAGCCCAAGAGTTTTGGATGGGTTTCTGAGGTACAGAAGATGCATATTGACATGCATGTACCTGGAGGAGCAACGTAAAGGCACCCATATGGCTGCCCAGTCAAATTCCGGTCCAATCATAGGCAGCCTAGTCTTTAAAAGACCAAAGGTATACAATTAAGTTGTTTGGTACACCTGCTAAACTTTTATATTGGGCAATGTACAAAGACGTTGCATGCTTAGGCAAATGTGCCCACCATGCAACTGGATTTTCCATCACATCCTAACAATGTCCAAGCAGATAACAGTAAATCAGGAAAGTGATATGCTTTCTATAAAGCATTGATTAGCTTCACATTAGGTCTAAGGGGACCTGACTTGGTCAAACAATGGGCCATTAATAGGTACCCTAAAGTAGAACCAAGCCCTGTGTTAAAAAAAAGGCTGAGGGCAAAGGGCTAGCCACCAGTATTGTCTGTGGTCACCCAGCAGCTGATCTATCCTCATTACAGACTACCATACCTTGTTCGGCCCTGTGTCTCTGTATGGAGATGGGCATCTTGGTGGTAGCAGGGTTTTTCTTCTTCATGTCAGAGTGTCCAGCAGAAGAACAGTGAGCAGTACAGTAGTGACATCCCTAAATCTCACTCCTAATCTCCAAAGACTAGCAGTCAGAGGCAGCAGCACCTTAACTTTCACACTGCAGATATACAACTATGAGGCTGTAGGCGCAGGAGTGCCTAGGCATACTCACATAGCATAAAGTGCATTGCTGCTTTTCAGGGGAAATTAGGACAAAAAGGTATATTTTTCAGAGTACTGCTTAGGCACAATTACCATTTCTAGATGTTCCTTGCAACATAGCAGATCTTCACTTTTGGGTTCAGGTCCACTTTAAATAGACTATAGTATTTTCTTAGCCTCCAATTTTCAGTATTTCGGCCTTTAAAAAAGCATGACTTTAATGTACTAAGGCTAGGTTCACACCTGGGCGTACTATAGGCACGTTTTTTCTGCTCATTTTTCAGCTCGTTTTTTAGCACGTTTTTTTGTTCAGTGAAACGCGCATTCGAAGCTCGTTTTTATACCTCCATGGCAGTATCATTTTTTTTTTCTTTATTTTCTCTATCTTTTTTTCAGATTTTTTTAACTTTCAGACTTCCCGCTGATCTCCCCCCCCTGCGACGTGGACACTCGCAAGGGACGGAAACCCGGAAGATGGCAGCGGCCGGAGGACACAGTGGGGAACGCGGACAATGTAAGACCTACACTGTATTCCTGAGTGTAGCTCGGGGTTACCGCTTTGTTAACCCCCAGCCACACTCGCGAATAACAATGGATACGCGCTGAAATATGCCCCAAAGAAGCTCCTGTACTTGTTTGGGCGTAGGGTGTTTTTCAGCGCGTTTCCACGGGCTGAAATACGCCCAGGTGGGAACCATGCCCATAGGAAATTATGGTATTTCACTTGCTGAGCGTTTTTCAGCGCTTCGATCAGCTAGGAAAAACGCCCAGGTGAGAACCCAGCCTAAGGCCTGGTTCACACCTGTACGTTTTGGAGCGCGTTCAACACTCTACGAACGCTCTACAAAACGCTCAAACATGAAAATCCCATTGTTTTCTATGGGTATGGTTCACACCTTGCCGTATTTCAGCCCATCTGAACGCGCTCCAAAACGGCCTACGCCTGAAAAGGTACATGAGCTTCTTTGCAGCGTTTTTGTCTCGCGTTTCCATTGAGATACAGCCAAGTAGCCCTCGGAAACGCGCGTTTGTCGTGCGTTTTTTGTGTCACGAAACGCGTGACAAACGTGCATATTCGATACGCCTAGGTGTGAACAGAGCCTAAAGAATGTGCTAACTGTATGTCTATGGATTACACTACTGTAGTGTGGTTAGTTTAGCTGATCAATAGCAATATAAGATGTTTACATTTATCTTGACAGCCTGATGGTGTCAGCGACAATTTAAATGAGCATTTACCTTTTGTTTTATACTGTATGTGAAATGTTTTAGGCGTCCTTGAATTAAAAAGCTGTCCTTCAATATGCAATAAGTTAAACTGTGTTATCAGCAACCGTTTCACTCTCCTGCTTAAGAATCCATTACACATGTGCAAAGTACATAGCAAAAGATATCAAATCAAGACACACAATATATGAACTGGAAGGAATTTTATTAGCGATGTTTCACAATTACACACACACATATAAAATCCCTCCCCACAAAAGTCAAAAGACTTCCACCAACTAACACAGGCCAGACGTTAGAGTGGACATGCGTTTCCAGTGCTGCCTCTTGCACAAGATGCAGGTTTAAACTTTTAGTAAAAAGCATCAGTGACTTTTTCATTTGAACAGGCTTTATGATGTCTTAAAGGGTGAATAATAGCACCATGTATCTCTACTCTTATATACAATCATGGCAATTCTCTCTGCAAAAGTAAACTGCAAAATGTCTCCCACCCCCAGAAATACTGTAGAAATTGACTTGTTTTGGGGTGTTGCTATCAGCTCCATTGTCATCATTGACCAAAATGACTTGCAGAGGTTCTTTGAGACTATTTCATAAGGGCCCCAAACACTTGTAGGACAGACCACGCTTCATCTTACAACCACCAGCCAGTTGTAACAAAGGCCACTGGTGACACACTTAAGGAGAGCACAGGTTTATGGGCAGTAAGAAGGAGCAAAGAAGAAGGTTGCAAAGAGAAAGGTGCTGCTGACAACCCCAGCAACCAACCATATCCCCAAACATTAAAACTAAAAGGAGAAAGAACAGATGCAGATTCTTAGCACAATAAAAAGGCTTTCACAGAAGTTAAAAGACTTAACAGCACCCCAGTATATAAATACTGTGCCTCTGTACTGGGGGTATGGATAGCTTTGAGGATGTCATTAAAAAGGGAATCAAGGGCTTTTTAGTATCTCATGCTGCTCTTGCTGGAAGATGAAGTTGTCATGGCGTAGGAAATGCCACTGGATGATCCGCCACCACTGCCGAACTTCAGGGAGCTACCACCGTACCCAGATCCACCTCCAAAGCTAGATCCACCATAACCACCACCAGATGAGGAGCTAGAGTTCACAACAGCTGTTAAGACAAGAAAATATATTAGGTTATAATGTTAATACTGTCAGTCATCTAAGTAAGTAAGTAACAAGACGCCTAATATTACATCTGCCTTTATGTAAAAGAGCTGCTTTGTGTATCATTGAGAAGCATTACACTACATATAGGTTTACACTCATTTTCAACATTGGTTCTAAATATCTTGTTGTAGTCAAATAAATATACTTACACATACTGACAGCTCCAACACCTTCACCAGCCAGCCTGAAAATGAACAAGAGAAAAAGCAGTGAATAGAGGAACAATAATAAGGCCTTTGTGACTATGCTTGAGTGCAATCTCATTTGCAATGACATACTATAAAGTTGTACTGTTATTAAGAGCAATCATAACTTACAGTGTCTGCCCTAAAACAATCTATCCCTTCTATAAATATGTGATCGAGTTTAAGAACTGACTATCTTCCCAGGTTTACCTGCTCTCCTCTCCTTCCAGCAGTTTCCTGTAGGTGGCAATCTCAATATCCAGAGCTAGTTTGACATTCATCAGTTCCTGGTATTCTCTCAGTTGGCGAGCCATGTCCTGCTTGGCCTTCTGTAGAGCAGCTTGTAGTTCTTCAAGCTTGCCGCTGGCATCCTTCAGTGCCAGTTCACCACGTCCCTCAGCCTCTGCAATCTGTGCCTCCAGCTTAGCACGCTGAAAATAGCATAGAAAGTAACAAGATGTTTATTAGCATTGCATTCTGTTCCCTGTTTTCTAACAGCAGCTCTATGTTTTTGGTTTTTCAACCGGCATTCTAAAAGTCACCCTATCAGATCTCAAAGGAAATGAGTGAAAAGGGTGATAAGCTGACAAAAGCACACAGCAAACAGGTGGATACAACAGCCAGGCTGCGCTCATTGTGCCGGCAGATAGAAAATGTTATCACTTGAATTATTTAAAAGCAGCAGGTGATTCATGCATCCACACCCTGCCCTCAAACTACATTTTTACAAAGAGATCTAAACGGTAACTAATCCTAGTGCATGTCGGCTGCTTGCTTTCTGTGGCTTCTAGGCAACATTAAATCTCCTGTAATTGCACCTGCTATAAAGTATAATAATAAATGAAGGAGCAGCACAAGTGCATTGCATTATTAAAGCATATTAATGCTATGACAACACAATGGCTACAGTGTAAGTGAAAAGAATGGCATTTTCATTTGCAAGAGGTGCTTAGTACAAAAACTGTTATAGAGATACTAAACATGCAAGACTTTGACAGCCATAGACAATGAGTGGCATTGATCTTTAAACCAAGACTGTGCTTTGTCATTCAACATGTCATTTAACTGCTTTAATCCCCCCATCCCCAGCAGCATATACTTAGTTTTACTTCACTCCTCCGTCACACTACTTAGTGACGGGAGTCTTTACCCTGTACTTCCAGGTATGGAGAGCATGTGACTAGCTGCATGTGACAGCAATGAGCCAATCAGCATTCTCATGCGGAGAGTCCATAGTCCTATGCAAGTTATGAGTACAGTAGATTGTAGCTTTCCTTTTACTCACAGCAGATCAACAAAATGATAAAGGAGGGAAAGGAAGAATATGTGTCTGTCGAAGTCCTAATTTATGTAAACCTGAACAATGTCAATTAATATTTTACATTAATACATTAGTACACTTGCTGTAATGCTTCATGTGTTATGTCCTGCATGGCATCTCTTTTTACAAAGGGCATACAAAATCATCAGTAGCAGCCAAGGTAAAACGCAGAGAAAAGCTGCTGATATTACAATATGTCGTAGACATGCAATCAGCCAATCAGATTTATTAGCGTATATGTTGCTTTTTATGCTGCTTTTTGATGGTTTACTTTTTAGAATCATCGGTTTAGTAAGATTTATTTTTCACCTACTTTGATATTATAAGAATTTGATGCTAAATAATTACCTGTGCTTTCACGTTCTCAATCTCTGCCTGCAACCTCTGGATGGCGCGGTTCAACTCGGAAATCTCAGTCTTGGTGTTGCGCAGATCATCACCATGACGACCAGCGGTGGCCTGGAGCTCCTGGTACTGTTGGTGTACAGTAAGGGCACATTTAGCAATCATTGTAACATATGTACTTGTAAGCACAATGCTTTTAAATAAATTCCAAACTTACTTTGTACTGGTATGTACTCTCAGCCTCAGCACGGCTCTTAGCAGCAATGTCTTCATACTGAGCCTTGACTTCAGCGATGATACTGTTCAAATCCAAAGCTCTGTTGTTGTCCATGGACAGAACGACAGAGGTGTCTGAGATCTGAGCCTGCAGCTCACGTAATTCCTTTAGAGAAACACAAGTATTTGCATTAGGTTTGTTTGCAGGCAACCTGCTCATATTAATTCAAATATTTATCTGCCTGTGAGAGATGTCGCTGAAGAATGTTTTTGGCATAGGAGTGATACTTATAACAGAGATCTTCAGATGCTGCACGTCTACAAATACCAGTATGGTTGTTGCCTACGGCTGCCATATAAACTGTGGCTAATATCATAAAAGTATTACTCCGTAAATATCCTTAAATGCTTTTCTGCTGAGAAAATTTGCATTTATATGCACATGTAATGCTTATGAAAAGGGAGTAATTATATTTGTAATAGTAGCTGATAACACAATGATGTTTTCTATAGAGTGTTAAACACTGTATAAAAAAAATAAAAATAAACCATAACTAGTACTTACAGCTTCATACAGAGCCCTCAGGAAGTTGATTTCATCAGTCAGAGCATCCACCTTGGCTTCCAATTCTACCTTGTTCATGTAAGCACCATCCACATCCTGCACAGAACAGAAGATAGGAGACCAATCAAAACATGCCATAATGGTTTATTATTCAGTCCAGTGGAAGTTCTTGTAATGCCTTTCAGCTTAAAGGGATCTTTCTATAAATTGTATTCTGAATGCAGGCAACTCAATCTCAAAACACAGAAGGAAATACGTGTTGTGAATAACATTTGAAGGTCTACGGCTCCTTGACACATGAAGGGTACGTTCACACCAGATCAGATGCAGTGGGTTCCGGTCCGATTCTGGCCAGAACGCACTGCATCGCATTGCGGCCAGCTCACTTTTTTGGGGGGCAGGAAGGGGCGTGGCAGGCCATTGAAGTGAATGGCACAATAGCCACGCCCTCCGTCCGTAATGCGATCGGCCGCACGGGATCACAAGGCACAGCGTGCATGCGGTCCAGTCCGGTGCGATCAAAATACCGGACCGGACCACAGGTACAATGTGCCTTGCAATCCCGTGCGGGCGATTGCATTGCGGCCGGAGGGCGTGGCTACGGTGCCATTCACTTCAATGGCCCGCCACGCCCCCTCCTGCCCCACAAAAAAAGTGAGCCGGCCGCGATGCAGTGCGTTCCGAACAGAATCGGACTGGAATGCACTGCATCTAGTGTGAATGTACCCTAAAACTAGGGTATGTGGGTATTCAAGTGGGCCATGAGGGTCTGTATAAGAAAGATCTGATACTTCTGAGCAGAATCATTAATTCCTACATACATTTTTATAATTGGGATTATTTTTAAGGCTAATTAAAATGGGAAAAGTGCAGTAACTCAATGTAACCAACTGGCAATCATCTTTCATTGTTTGTCTTCTCTAAATTAATGAAAAAGGTAAAATAATTGGCTGTTATGGGTTATTGATTGCACTGCAGTGCCAATAAAAGAATAAGATTTTACTTATTAGTTATGCCATAAAGTGAGCTAGACTTGCTGTTTATGATCCCCACGTCTACTAAAATGCTCAGGCTCATCAAACTCATCATGCTGTGGGCAGAATGTATTATGCCAGATTAACCTTTGCCTTCCACAGCGGCTGAGAGTCTTTGATGCAGTGTTTATGACTTAGATATATTACTGTAATACAAGCTGCACCAAGGCTACACAGGTAAAAGAACGTACCTTCTTCAGCACGACAAATTCATTCTCAGCTGCAGTGCGCCTGTTGATTTCATCCTCATACCTGCAGGAAGGAAAGGAGAGACAGGGATTGTAAGTATTCTTGGCACCAGGGCTCCTCAGTACAAAATAAAACCTAACTGTACTCCTTTCTGTTCAGTGTGTTATTTGATCTTCTCAGGACACCAAACAGCCGGATCTAGATTTTCATGCTTTGTTTAATTGGTTACTCTATCCCAAGACTTGTGGCATTTCAGAAGAAGTCAAAACTAGCAGACCTTGCTGTAATTTCCCTGTAACTGCCTCTAATTTTATACTCTCAATTTAAACTGGGCTGAAGAAATGCTTCAAGGCCAGCACTCTGCGAGAAGAGCCAAGCCTTGTCTTCTATCTACTGAAAGGTCAGTCTGCTACCCTTTGATACTATAAATTCCAGAATGGCATGCTAAGACTAGTTGTGCCTCCATTCTTAAGCTGCCCATACACTGGTTGAATTTTGTCTGAGTCCTGCTGTTAGCGTGGATGGTGGAATCTACAGTTTAGATGGGGGAATCTACAAACTCATAGTGTATGGCCATCCTTAGAAGGTGACTTGATGCTAACACTTGTTGTGGGAATACAGAGATGCAGTGAGTTCTTATTTCAGACACTTTGCTAAACAAAGACTATTATAGTTAAAAGCAAACCCCTGATGGGCACATTTTTTAAACCTGAAAGCAACATTTTTTTTAAATAGGGCTGTCACACATAGCAACACATCAGGTTTGGCTTTCATTCAACAACCTGCCGTGAGAAAATGTGCCATGGAATCTGGATGACGGGGGAAAAAGGCTCCACTTTTCCTTCCTGGTGCTTTTTTTATTTTTATTTAGCCTCGGTAACTTTCACCAGACAGGAAAAGGTTAGCCTTTGTCCTGTTTTTTTATGTATCAAGGGAGCTTTTATTATAAACTTTGGCAGGAGACTGTGTTTGTACGAGAAGTTTCCAACAATGGGCTGAACTGTTAAAATGAATCGGTACTCAAGCTGGCTGTAAATGTGAAATAACAGGTATAAAAAGTCCTATGCACAAATAGAATATAAACTGTGTTTTTACTAGCTTTTAACTAGGTACTGTGTGCATCCACACACTGATGATTGCAAAAAGTAGATTTTTCCCCGTGTGTGTGGTCTTTTCCTCTGTGGGTAATGAAATAGTGGAAAGATAAAAGCAGCCAGCAATGATTGAACTGATACTTCTGTGTTGATGCCAAACCCTTTTTATTCACTAGCGCTGGACATCTAGATTTCACCTGATATAGATTACCTGCTATTGACTTTCCTGTAAGGGACACACCCTGGGTTTATCTACATTGTTTGCTTTAGTTCCTGTTGGCCTCTGCTTGGCCAACACAGGATTTTGCAAACCCTCCCCTCTCTTTCCAGCTTTCTTTGGTACAGCAAGGGTGTGGCGCTTACCCATACAGAAGCCTTTATAATAATATATCATTAGGGTAATGCAGGTGCTTTCTAGCTCCAAAACGCTATGTACAGTTACAGATTATTCTACAGTTATCAGTAGAAGGCTCAGTTGGGATTTACTGTGGCATTAATTCTAGAGTTGCATTTACCATCTGATTACTTACTTGTTCTTGAAATCCTCAACCAGATCCTGCATGTTCCTGAATTCTCCGTCCAGTCTGCCCTTGTCGTTGATCAGGGTGTCCAGCTGCCTCCTCAGGTTGGCAATGTAAGCCTCGAACATGGGGGCGATGTTGCTGGCCTTGGAAGACTTCTGGTTCTGCAGAAGATCCCATTTTGTCTCCAGAACTTTGTTCTGCTGTTCCAGGAATCTCACCTTTTAAAAACAGCAAGGAAAGGAAATGTAAAGACGGTCTGGACAGTGCAGAGCTTTAACTATTCCCCTGCATTGTAAGAATGAGTCTAATGCATGCATTCTGAATTCATTTTACTGTATATGGGATGGGAGCATATACCACTACTAAGTACAAAGAATGACTGGAGGGCATAACGTTTCAAACTATGCACAATTATTTCATTACATCTGCTGTTTAAAATGTGACAACTGTACTTTTGCAACAGAAATACTGCACCAGTATTTTTGCATAGAATTTACAAAATGCAAGCAAGAATGACAAAATTTATCACCACAGAGCCCGACACTAAGATCCACCTTACAAATACTGGTATACTAATTATTGTTATAAATTTTTGTTCTTACCTTGTCAATGAAAGAAGCAAACTTGTTGTTCAGGGTCTTGATCTGTTCCCTCTCCTCCTTCCTAACAACCTGGATGTTGGGGTCAATCTCCAGATTGAGGGGTGCCAGCAGGCTTTGGTTGATGGTGACTTCGTGGATTCCAGGTCCAGTTCCTTGGCCACCTCCATAGCCACCTCCAAAGCCACCGCCAAATCCAGAGCCACCTCCAATGCCATAAAGGGAACCACCACCAACACCGGACCTGCCACTGGACACGCCATAGGAAACGCTCTTTCTCACTGAACCCACATTAGACAAGCTGGAGCTGCTCCAGTTCGCTGGTCTTCCCAAGCCTGCACCGCTGGAGGTGCGTGTCTGGCTGATTCTGACGGAGCTAACGCCTCCCTGGGGAATAGCGGAGCGAGTGCTGAAGCCCTTTTGGTAAGACATTGTGCCAAGTGGAGATGATGAGAGGAGAAGAAGAAGCTGGTGCTGCTGGTCTGTCTGAGTGATCCAGTGCTTCAGAAACTGCAGCTTCTCCTTTATATTGGAGCTGAAACTAGGGAAGGGAAGGGGGCAGGGGCAGAAGGATCAGTTTACGGTATGTCACAGCTAGGTGTGGCTGGCTGCCATCCGTTCTCTGTTACCTGCAGCTATGTCCACACCTTCTGCACGGTCCCTCCTACTGACCACTCCAGCATTCCCAGTCTGGACACACACAGTGACTACTTTACATCTACTGTACAAGTCTGCAAATACACTTCATCATGCAGCTCACTATTCTACTCCTGTAAAGTGCAGTCTTATATTTTAGTCCCTACGCACCATATGCACCTGCACAATTGTCTGAAAGTTTTCCCTAAGGCAATGAGGGAGTTAAAGCAACGGAGCTTGGCACAGCACAGAGCTTATATGCACGGTGACTCATATTTACCGATAAGGATGAAGAATTTACAACTCAGCAATTCAAAATGCTAAAGATTTTCAGTTACAATTCAAAGTTCATTCACAGTTTTATTTCATGCACAATGTTTTATTTTTAATAATCATAAGAAATGAAGATAAGTAAGCACTGTAATTCATATACTTTTTCCATAAACTAGTGCATTTTTATATTCTGCACACTGCAATGAACAAGGCAAAATGCACAGACTTTCTTCTGTAGAAGTGCATGTTATGTGCACTTATTCCATAAACAGCAAGCAAAGCCCAACGTGCACAATGCAGGACCGCGTGACTTCCAAGCAGAATTCAACTAGGGACAGTCGATGCATTTAACCTTTTGCTATGGATACTGCACTTTGCACTCTTTTACAGTATTCAAGAGCTGTAGAAAAACTGAAAATCTGAATTTATCATCATACTTAGATGGTGCATGGCAGCCACTATTATCAATGATCGCTCATTCATTGAAATGCATTTACGGAGTGCTTTTCAGGACAGGTTTAATGGGAAAAAGATTATTTATCATACTAAAATAAGTGACTACCCCAAATCCCCACTCATGCTAACTTAAAGCCAATCCTTGCAAATTCAAGGCTTGTGACCCGGGTTTGTGAGAATTGACTGAATTCAGAGATAAGTCTGGTATGTCTGTCAATACTGATGGAAATGATCAACAATCACCATGCAGTGTGTGGATGAATTGCTTAAAGGTAAGTGGTAGTAGTGGTGCTTCTAAAAATCCCTAGCTGTCATGGAATCCATTGGCTTCAGCAGTTGACTTGCAGCTTAGAAACAGCTTCTAAAGCTGCCCATACACCTTACGAATATCGTACGATAATCGTATGCGATCGCGTTTTTGTCCGATATTCGTAAGGTTGATGGGCAGTGCGCAGACGCAAAAACTGTACAATCGTATGACTTTTGACTAACCAGCAGGTTAGAAAACTTCGGTCGATCGTACAATTTTCGCAAGGTTGGTGGCGTTTCCGTACGTCAAAATTTGTACGATCTGCACTGCACATGCTCAGACGAAAATACTCGTGGTCCATTACCGCAATTCGTCCAGGTGCTTTCTTTTAACTACCGCTGATCCAACCTAGCGATAATCGGGGCAGGATGGGGGCTCAATTAACTGACGAAAAGTGTCGTGCGATGACCGCAAGGTGTATGGGCAGCTTTACTCTGACATTGCTCAGAGACAGATCAGTGTCTCAAAGTATTGAATATAGTGACAGCCAGGCAGTAAGCATTTTGACAAAGATTTTGGCAATGGTAGCCTTTGTATTCTGATTCTCAGATTTGATTGAAAGAAGAACTCTGGGTTCATAAAAAAGCTTACCCTTGCAGTAGGGCTTCCCCTGCACCGCAAAGTGCTTGCTTTGGTCTAGGGGCTGGAGTAAAGCAGAATTACTTACCTGATCCCAGCTTCCTCCAGGCTGCTAGACCGGTCCCCAAAGCCTTATCTCCCCCGAGCACCAGCAGTCTAAGGACCACTGACATCATCACGTCTAATGCAGGTCCATTTACCTGCATTAGATGTGGGGGCGCTGAGGGACATTCCACAGCCAGAATGTAGGGGGAGAGAGGCGAGCGCTAACCACTGGGATCAGGTGAGTAAATCAGATTTGTTTGAGACCCCTAGACAAAATGAGCACTTAACCCTTGCAGTGCGGAAGTAGCAGCACTGCAAGGGTAGTTTTTTTTTTATTTGCCCGGACTTCTTTAAAGTAGATAAGTCATTAGGGCTAGTTCACACCAGAACTGTGTGCCTCTTCGCAGCTGCAGTGCGATGCATTTTGCTGCAACTTTAAAGCGATTTTTGGGGGGCTTAAAATGGGATTTCAGGTGCGTTACAGTGAGTTTGAATGCGTTTGCATGCATTTTTGATGCGTTCCGTTGCGATTCAGTATTTTTTCTGACTGCATTGTAACGGACTGCCCTGGTGTGAATAGAGCACCAAAAATCCCATAGGAAAGCATTGTGATGTATTTTGGCTGCAGCAACCAAACTGAACAGACTGCATTACAACTGGATCTGGTGTGAACTAACCCTTGAGGGACGGTTCACACCACAAAGTCCGCATTCCAGTGCGTGCGGCCTCTGGAACGCACTGGAACACAAGGCGGCCGTCTCCCTGCGTTCAGGGGTGGAAGAGGGCGTGTCGGTGCATTGTAGTCAATGGCACCGCAGCCACGCCCCCCACCCGCAGTGCGATTGCGCGCACCCGGATTGCAGGCACATTAGTGCTTGCGTTCCGGTCCAGTGCGATCTGCAAAAAGAGTGCGTGCAGTATTTTTCACACCAGTCTCAGTGCGTTCTAGCCCGATTCTGGTCAGAATGCTCTGGCTCGCTTCCTGGTCAGCTTACTATGTTTTGAGGCGGGAGGGAGCGTGGGTGTGCATTCAGCTCAATGGCACCGCAGCCACGCCCTCCGGCCACAATGCAATCAGTCGCACAGGAACGTGTGGCACATCAGTGCCTGCGTTCTGGTCCGGTGCAGTCAGAAAAAATAGTGCATGTCAGTTGCAATTGTTTGTATCTCTCTTTGGGAAAATGCTTGTTGCCTTGCTGTCATGCTGATGCCACGGCTTCAACTTTTATCCCAAGACAAGAGACAGAACAAGTACCGTATAGAGACAAGAGTTTTGACATAATTTGGACACTTTTGTACTCCTTGTTTGTTCTGGGAACTGAATCCAGAAATTAAAACCTACATGATTGTCTCCGGACAGGTGCACTTTAAAAGAAACAATGTACAACGTTCTAAAGTTTCTTCGCATGCATGGTTAACAATGTTTTATTAGTTCTAATCTGGGAGGCAAACTAGTGTCATGGCTGGAATGTGGAAGTCAGTGACCAGAGGGGTGTGTTCCTATTGTGTGGTATGAACAGCATGTTGCTGTTGGAAAGGCAGCGATCAGAAAACGTTTATGCTTCATGTTATTTTATACAGCTTTCTATTTACCATCTATCTGTTCAGAGGTATCTATACAAAGTGTGTGGTCAGCACTATTTATATTAGCTTACAGGGAGCATATCATCCTTGCCGTTATTTATCTGCAGGGCAACATAAACAGTATAGGGTACAGTACAATAGAAATGAGAACATAAGGTACAATTTTGTTTACTGGTGCAAGACTGTTTCAAGCTTTATTTCCAATAACCTTTATTTCTATAGGTAAGCAGGGCTGGTGCAGCCGCCTAGGGTGCACTTATGCCTAGGGTGCAGCCTTGACCACTCACCCCCCCCATTAGACATCCATTCTACAAGAGGCATATTGATAACCTATTGTACAAATTAATTTAAAAATACTTTATTACTCACCCCCCCATGGTGCCCCCCCCCCTATTTCAAATTGCAAAAGCTAATGGCAGGCTGGCTATTGAACCCACCCACTGAGCAGAGGAGCGGAACTGAGAGACAACTTTCTCTCTCAGGTCCGCTCCTCTGCTCAGTATGAGTTGTTTCAATAGCCAGTCTGCTATTGGCTATTTCTAATTAAAAAAGCCAATAGCAGTCTGGCTATTGCTCCCAGCTGCTTACATTCACCTGTTGCTTGTGGAAGCTAGCCGGCAGGAGAATGGAGCCGTGAGGGAGGGGGTTTGCAAGTAGCCGGTCTTGCCTCGGGTGCAAAATAGTCTAATACCGGCCCTGTAGGTAAGAGAGCATTTATTGCAAGTGAGCAGCAAAAAGTAAATCATCCTGCATCCTGGAAAATCTCTATTGCAAGCAACAATGAAGAGATTGTGATAATAGTTTATATAATAGTCTTCTCCCTGTGCTGTGGTTTAGTTAAAGCGGTTCATTGTTCATGTAAAAACACTTTCACAGAGGTGTATGTGGACAGAAAAAGAAGTGTTTCTGTGATAAAGGCTCTTTGAATGTTTAGGAAAGTATAAAGTACATTCGTGTGTAGCTTGATCTATAGATCTCGGTACCATCTAGTGCAAGCAGCGGACTATTCTAAGGGCACCGGGTCTGCTCATACCTAAAAGATGAGATCATCCCTGAAATCTAGCTGCCTGAAAACCATGTGATGAAAAATCATCTAGTTCATGAGGAATGCATCCTTCTCTTGGCATTCATTTTGAAAAATAGCAAATGTTGGTCCTGCCAATTAGATTACAAATCTGACCATTTATGGCCAATGCAAAATCAACTTTTGTTACCAAGATCTGCCATTCTGTGAGCTCATAGACACACTTCTGTTCTAAATTTCCCATGCTGGCCAGGTCTGTCCTTAGTTAGGGGCCACTTAGATAAGCCAACTAAGTAACTAAGTGCCATAGCATTAAAGTGACATTAAAGTAGACAGCAGCATCAGGCTCCGTTTACTTGGGTAGAATGCAGTACACAAGGTGGTGTCTTCACTGAGGGGTTTATTTATTCGCTGGGCGAATGGGAAAATTCCTAAGCTCCTCAACTCCATCTAGTGGCAGAAATGCCATATAAACTGCATTCTCCCAACGTATGGCTGGTGGCATATCCTTTGGGCTCCAGTAGCGTATGGCCTGGCCCCAAAACATTGGCTATATCATGTCTGACATTTCACTTCAATAAATAAGTACAAGGATTAATGCTAATATTGGAGTGCTGGGGATCTTCATCTTCTGCAGGTTTGATACACACTGCGCCATCCATGACTATCACTGCAAGCACCTTGGTTGTTCAGGCCCAATCACTGCAAGGAGTTCAGGGGACACATCCATATACTACAGGGAATAGACACCAAACACCCCATTTAATGTCTACGTGT